GGGGTCCCCCGATGACGCGCGTGCCCCGGGGTTTGCTCTCCCCGCAGGCATGCTCAGCCACCCGCCCATCCCCATCGCCGACATGGCCGAGCACACGGAGCGCCTGAAGGCCAACGACAGCCTCAAACTCTCCCAGGAATACGAGGTGAGCCCCGCCGCCCCCACGCTGCTGCTGCACCAGCTCTGCCCTGCCCCTGCCCCTGCCCCACCCATGACACCACACCCCCCCGCTGCTCCTGCCTCCCACCCGCAGTCCATTGACCCCGGGCAGCAGTTCACGTGGGAGCATTCTAACCTGGAGGTGAACAAACCTAAGAACCGCTACGCCAACGTCATCGCCTATGACCACTCCAGGGTCATCCTCCAGCCCATCGAAGGTAGGGAGGGGCGAGGGGCCACGGAGGACCAGACACGGGGTGAGGGATTCTAGGCCTTGTCCAGCTCCCCTGGGAATCTTTCAGAGAAGAACAAATTCGCCCCCATGTAGTCAGTGCTGCCTTACAGCACCCTCCTGTGGGTTTCCCAGACACTAGAAAGCCCAGTCTTTGCCCTGCAGGGCTGCTGGTGGTGTTGAACTGCCCACCGTGCCAACCGCAGCCCAGCGCATGTCCACTGCACCACCAGGGCTTGTCTGGGAGTCTTAGGGCACGCATTTAACTGATGGCTGCTGCTCACGGCATGGGTAGTTTGCATTGGCTCACAAGCCAATGCTCTGAGTTATTCATGGGCCTGGTGACTGGGCGAGGGGTGCTGCTGGGTGCTGCTGGCATTGAGTGAGTGGTAGTTAAGGATACCACTCAGAACGCTACAGTGCATGGATTGCCCTTTCCTCCAAATCCCCCCAGCCCCCTGAGAAAGCTCTGCGCTCCCTGTGAGCAACAGGGCTAGCCAGGGGAGACATTGAGTGAGGAGCAGGTTGGGGCAGTACGGGAGAGCTTCCCGGAGGTGGCAGGGCAGCTGCACAGCACCCTCACCGACCCTGGCTCTTCTCACCCTGGCCACAGGCATTGTGGGCAGTGACTACATCAATGCCAACTATGTGGATGGCTACCGGCGGCAAAATGCGTATATCGCCACTCAGGGCCCGCTGCCTGAGACCTTCGGCGACTTCTGGCGCATGGTGTGGGAGCAGCGCTCGGCCACCGTGGTCATGATGACTCGGCTCGAGGAGAAGTCCCGGGTGAGCCCTGGCCCCCAGCCCTGGGCAGTGGCAGCAGCCCCTACCCCTATGCCACCC